GTTTGCCGGGAGAGTCTTGATTACCTCTTCAATTTCCTTAGTTGTTATTGGTCTGTTCAAGTTTTCTATCTCTTCCTGATCTAGTTTTGGGAGACTGTGTGTTTCTAGAAATTTGTCCATTTCGCTTAGATTGTCGAATTTGTTGCCATATAGTTGTTCATAGTAGTTGTTAACGATCTTTTGTATTTCTGTGGTGTTGGTTGTTACTTCTCCTCTTTCATTTCTGATTTTGTGTATTTGGGTTCTCTCTCTTTGTTTCTTGGTGAGTCTAGCTAAGGGTCCATCAATCTTGTTTATCTTTTCAAAAAACCAGCTCTTTGTTTCATTGATCCTTTGAATTGTTTTTTTGGTCTCTATGTCATTTATTTCTGCTCTGATCTTTACTATTTCCTTCCTTCTACTTGCTCTGGGGTTTTCTTTTTGTTTGCTTTCTAATTCTTTAAGTTGTGAGGTTAGACAGTCAATTAGAAATTTTTCCTGTTTTTTGAGGTAGGCCTGTAGTGCTATGAACTTCCCTCTCAGAACTGCTTTCGCTGAATCCCATAGATTTTGTGTTGTTGTGTGTTCATTTTCATTGGTTTCCAGGAAGTTTTTAATTTCTTCCTTGATCTCCTCGGTGACCCATTCATTGTTTAATAACATGCTATTTAGCCTCCAAGTGTTGAAATGTCTTTGCATGTTCTTGTTGCAATTGATTTCTAGTTTCATGCCATTGTGATCTGAGAAGATACTTGATATGATTTCAATCTTCTTGAACTTGTAGAGATTTAGTTTGTGTCCTATCATGTGGTCTATCTTTGAGAATGTCCCATGTGCACTTGAGAAGAATGTGTATTCTGTAGTTTTGGGGTGTAATTCTCTGTAGATGTCTATTAAATCCATTTGGTCTAGTGCTTCATTTAGAGTCTCTGTTTCCTTGCTAATTTTTTGCCTAGAGGATCTATCCAGTGCTGTCAACGGGGTGTTGAAGTCCCCTGCTATGATTGTATTGTTGTCGATTTCTCCTTGGAAGTCCTCCAGAAGATTTTTAATATATTTTGGTGCTCCTATATTCGGTGCATATATGTTTATCAAGGTTATATCTTCCTGTTGGATAGATCCTTTCAATATTATGTAGTGGCCGTCTTTGTCTCTAGTTATGGTCTTCATTTTGAAATCTATTTTATCAGATATGAGAATTGCTACCCCAGCTTTTTTTTGCTTTCCATTTGCTTGGAAAATTTTTTTTCATCCCTTCACTTTCAACCTATGTGAGTCTTTTGTTGAGAGGTGGGTCTCTTGTAAACAACATATAGATGAGTCATGCTTTCTTATCCAATCAGCTACTCTGTGTCTCTTTATGGGAGCATTCAATCCATTTACGTTTAAGGTTATTATTGAAATGTACTTATTTATTGCCATTTTTGTTTAGTGTGGTTCTATTTTTCTTCCCATTTCTACTGCTAATTACAGCAGTCCTTTTAACATTTCTTGCAGTGCTGGTTTGGTGCTAATGTATTCCCTTAGCCTTTTTTTTGTCTGGGAAGCTTTTTATTTGATCTTCTATTTTGAATGATAGCCTTGCTGGGTAGAGTAGTCTTGGATTCAGATTCTTGTTTTTCATGACTTTGATTACTTCATGCCATTCTCTTCTGGCCTGTAGTGTTTCTTGGGAGAAGTCAGCTGAGAGCCTTATGGGGTTCCCTTTGTAGGTAACCTGTTGCTTATCTCTTGCTGCTTTTAGGATTCTCTCTTTGTCTTTAATTTGTGGCATTTTAATTACTATGTGTCTTGGTGTGGGCCTGTTTGGGTTCTTCTTACTTGGGACTCTCTGTGCTTCTTGAACTTGAATGCCTTCTTCCTTCACCAAATTAGGGAAGTTTTCTCTCACTATTTTTTTGAATATATTGTCTATCCCTTGCTCCTTTTCTTCTTCTTCAGGGACTCCTATGATGCGAATATTATTACGTTTCCAGTTGTCCCATAGTTCTCTTAAGCTGTCTTCCTGTTTTTTAATAGTTTTTTCCTTTTGTTTTTCTGATTGGTTGATTTTTTCTACCCTGTCTTCTAATTCACTGATCCGGTCCTCAGCTTCCCCTACTCTGCTTTTTAAACCTTCCAATGTGTTTTTCATTTCGGATATGTCATTTTTTTATCTCTTCTTGTTGGTTTTTAATTTCCATTTGGCTTATTTTCAGTGTCTCTATGTCCTTACACATGCTGTTTAGCTTCCTCAAGATCATGGCTCTGAATTCTAGCTCTGTTAACATGCCTAATTGCTCCACATTGATCTCATCTTCGGTGGAGGTTTCTTGCTCTTTCATTTGGCTTCTGTTTCTGTGTTTCACCATTTTGGCTATCACTGAGGGCTTTGGAGCCTGTCAAGTTCTCCCTGTGGGTGTTGGTGTTCTGCTGTTTGTGGCTCCCTCTCCTGTGTTTAGATGAGTGAGGGAGGACCCACGTTGAACACCACTGTCAAGTCTTACTTTCCTGGTTAAAGTTGCCAGCCCAGGAAACGTACTGTTATCCTCTAGCTTTTTGCCTGGAGGCTAGCAGTCTAGGTTAATTGATGAGTTTTGGGTTGTCAGTTGATTGAAAAACTCCCTCTGGTGCTCAGCCAAAGCGCTTTCACGAGGGTGGGGCAGATGCTGGTTGTTAGTGAGCCTCAATTAGCATTTCAATGGCCCACAGGGTGGGGTTGGATCTCCGAGGGAGGGGCTGCTGCCTCTCTCAGAGCCCTGGGAAGGAGCAATGTGGCCACCATCCTGAGTGGCTGCACTCAGCCAAAGCTCTGAGCGCCCTCCAAACCCCGAGTGTCCCAACACAGTTCCAGTCCAGACCGCCCTCCCTCTGCCGGAGCCCAAGGTGAGTGGCTGTGGCTGTTTCAGCCTCTGTCCCGGCTGCGCTGTGGAGCCGCCTGGGAGTGTGACCCGAGGGCGCTGCTCCCAGCTGAGGCCGCTGCTGAGCTGCCGACCGTGGGCTCCCAGCCCCGTCTCGCGCCTTCGCAAGCCTACCGGGATGGAGTCAGTGTCCCTCGTTTTATGGTCCTCGCAAGCTGCTTTTCGGTTGGTTTTTCCCATCGATTTGTCTGTGTTATAGTTATAATTCCAGTTTGGTTCTGGGAGACGGTCTGTGTAGCTCCGTTCACTCTGCCGCCATTTTTCGGTTCCCCATAAAACGAGTTTAAAAGTCTTCCTTCTTCTTGAATTTTTTGAAATAGTTTGAGGAGAATGGGTATTCGTTCTTTGAATGTTTGGTAAAATTCCCCCGTGAAGCTGTCCGGGCCTGGGCTTTTGTTAGCTGGGAGAGTCTTGATTTTATCTTCAATTTTCTTAGTCATTATTGGTCTGTTCAAGTTTTCTATTTTTTTCTGGTTCAGTTTTGGGAGACTATGTGTTTCTAGAAATTGATTCATTTCACTTAGATTGTGAAATTTGTTGCCATATAATTGTTCATAATATTTGTTAACAATCCTTTGTATTTCTGTGGTGTCAGTTATTATTTCTCCTTTTTTATTTCTGATTTTGTGTATTTGGGTTCTCTCTCTTTGTTTCTTGGTGAGTCTAGCTAAGGGTCCATCAATCTTGATTATCTTCTCAAAGAACCAGCTTTTTGTTTTATTGATCCTTTGAATTGTTTTTTTTTTGTTGTTTGTTTGTTTTCATGTCATTTATTTCTACTCTGATCTTTACTGTTTTCTTTCTTCTACTTGCTCTGAGGTTTTCTTTTTGTTTGCTTTCTAGTTCTCTAAGTTGTGAGGTTAGATATTCTGTTAGAAATTTTTCTTGCTTCTTGAGGTAGGCCTGTAGTGCTACAAACATCCCTCTCAGAACTGCTTTCACTGCATCCCATAGATTTTGTGTTTTGGTGTGTTCATTTTTATTGGTTTCCAGGAAGTTTGTAATTATTTCCTTGATCTCTATGGTAACATATTCATTGTTAAATAACATGATACTTAGCCTCTATGTTTTCAAATGTCTTTGTATGTTCTTGTTGCAGATGATTTTTAGTTGCATGCCATTGTGATCTCAGAAGATGCTTGATACGATTTCCATCTTCTTGAACTTGTAGACACTTAGTTTGTGTCCTAACATGTGGTCTGTTTTTGAGAATGTCCCATGTGCACTTGAGCAGAATGTGAATTCTGTAGCTTTTGGGTGTAATTCTCTGTAGATATTTCTTAAATCCATTTGATCTAGCGCTTCATTTAGAGTCTGTGTTTCCTTGTTAATTTTTTGTTTAGAAGATCTGTCCAGTGCTGTCAGCGAAGTGTTGAAGTCCCCTACTATGATTGTGTTGCTATCGATTTCTCCTTTGAAGTCCTCCAAAAGATGTTTAATACATGTTGGTGCTCCTATATTGGGTGCATATATGTTTACCAAGGTTATATCTTTCTGTTGGATAGATCCTTTCTTTTTTTTTTATTGATTAATTTTTGTTACAGATGATTCTCCTTTTTTCCCCCACTGATTCCCCCCTCTTCCTCCCCTCCCTGACCCTTCCCCAGATTGTTGTCCATGTCCATTGTTCATGCGATAGATCCTTTCAATGGTATGTAGTGGCCTTCTTTGTCTCTAGTTATGGTCTTCATTTTGAAATCTACTTTATCAGATATGAGTATTGCTACCCCAGCTTTTTTTTTTTTCGCTTTCTGTCTGCTTGAAAGGTTTTTTTTTTTTTTTATCCCTTCACTTTTAACCTATGTGAGTCTTTTGTTGTGAGGTGGGTCTCTTGTAAACAACATATAGGTGAGTCATGCTTTTTTATCCAGTCAGCTACTCTGTGTCTTTTTATCAGAGCATTCAAACCATTCACATTGAAGGTGATAATTGATATGTACTTATTTATTGCCATTTTTGTTTAGTGTGGTTCTATTTTTTTAAAATATGAAACGCTTCACAAATTTGCGTGTCATCCTTGCGCAGGGGCCATGCTAATCTTCTCTGTATCGTTCCAATTTTAGTATATGTGCTGCCGAAGTGAGCACCATGATCTCATTTATAATGTCATTTGTATTCAAGGTCTCCCTTGGTACCAGTATGTTCCAATAGGGATCTCTGTGGCCCTCATTTTGCTGCTGCTCCTCCTCTTCTTCCTTTTCCTTCAATACCAGCGTCAGAGCAAACACAGGGCATCAGGTGAGTAGAGATCAAGGTGACCTGGGCCACTGAAGGGGTCACTCATACTTGCCACTGGAAAATCTAATAGATGGAGAAGGTCAGCTGAGACAAAGATTTCTCTAGAATCGCAAATCAGGAAATCTCTGCCCTTAATTCACCTGTTTCTTCCCTTAGCTACAACCCAGCTATGGGCGCCAGGAGCAGCCCCTCTGTGCCCGGAAGAGGCAGCAGCTGCCTTAAAGGGTGAATAGAGATTTCAGGAAATGATGGGGAGGGTTTTACTGGAGGGTGTGGGGTCCGAGGTGAGAAAGACTAAAATCTGCACTATGTGACCTGGTGCTACACCACAACCCTGTATTAGTGGTCTATCTGGGAGGAAGTTGGATCTGCAGACAGGAGATCTCGAAGACCCTGCCAGGAGACACACCCTGTTCTGTCCCAGCAGATGCTGTCATAAAGAACCCAGAACCTGAGGAGAACATGGAGCTGGACCCTCAGGTGAGGCCCTACTTCTGTCCAGACACCAACGACCTTATGTGGACCTTATGTTGCCGAGTCTAATCCAATGGACACTTTTCTGTTCTGTTTTAACATCACCTGGCTTTCAGCAGTGTCCACACTGACCTCTGCTTCTGGGCACCCAGCTCGTCCTGTTGTGACTCACTGCTCCTGGTTTCCTTGTGACCTCATGACTCCTCCTCTGTGATCCCTTTGCTGGCTCCTCGTCCTCTGCTTGACCCTGTGCAGCCCCAGGTCTCAGGAAGATGCATAAATAATTGAATCCCCCATATGTCTTCAGGATACTCTCATTCATTCATCCAGCAGATGTGATGAGGAGCCCACTGTTTACAGCTCCATTTAGGTGCCACAGTGCAGCCCTGAGCAACACTGTCTCCACACTCCTTGAGCTCACCTGTGGTTGAGGGGGACAGTATGCAAACAAGTGACAGTGTTTTAGAGAGCAAAGTGCTATGAAGGGAAATAAAGCAAGAGGAGGCCATAGACTGCATGGCGGGGTTGGGCAGAAAGAAAACAGAAGTGCAAATGTCCTGAGGTAGGAGGTTCTTCTTCAGGACGATGGTTCATGTGCCTGGATCTAGATGTGCAAGAGATAGGCTGTTAAAATAAGCATTAGAACCATAGAAACATCCAGAAGTCCCTGCAGAGTTCATCAGAAAAGGAACAAAATCTGAATTAAGGTTTAAATCTCCTTAAATGTTCAGCGGAATCAGGAGACACCAATTTTGCCTCACTGTCTCTTTCCACAGAGCAGGCATGATGAAGACCCTGATGAAGTAACATATGCCCAGGTGAACCCCTCAAGATCAAGACCCAGGCAGAGAATAGGCAGCTCTTCTTTCTCTCAGTCAAAGGAATTTCTGAACACAAAGGTCAAACAAGAAGAAAATGACAGACAGATGGGCAGTCAGGTGGGTTTTATTTTCCCCACACACCCAGGATTTCCCCAACTCCAGTCATGTTTCATCTTCCTCACTTTCCCCCTGCTCCAGGCTGTTGCTTCTGATGCCCCCCAGGACGTGACCTATGCCCATCTGAACCTCTTGGCCTTCAGACAGGAGACAAATGCACCCCCTTCTTTCCCATCAGAGAAACCCCCAGATGAGCCCAGTGTGTACGCTGCTCTGGCCACCCACTAGCCCAGGAAGAACCCAGACCCAACACTCCTAGGAAGGGGGGTGGCAGGGTCCTTGGGAGGCAGGAAAACTACTCCCATGAACACTGCTGGTGGCCCCAGCCAGCCTGCAGACCTGATAAGTTTGCCCAGTAGCAACGAGTGTTCTGGAAGGGTCCCCTGGTTCTATAGTCAAGGTAACCAATGCACCTACATTTTGGAAATAAAGAACCAAACTTCTCAATGATCAATGTGTGAACCAAGAGAGAAGTGAATGTTTTTATTTCAATGATAGTGTCAAACTGACCCATCACCTATGAAATGAGAAAATTAAAAACCAGCCATGATCTCACTTATATGTGGAATCTAATGAACAAAATAAATGGGTAAAGAAAATTCAAACACAGATTCCCCGGACAGTTTTGTTCAGTTGTTAGATCATTGGTTCAAGGATTGAAGAGTCTCAGGTTTGGTGGCATTCAAGGGCATGTACCTCAGTTGCAGTTCTTCCTTGTGCTGTTCAGGGCTGAGTACGAGGCAACTAATGGACATGTCTTTTTCATATTGATGTTTCTTTCTTTCTTCTTTTCACTCTGTCTGAAGGTAAATAAAAATATATCCTAGGGTGGAGATTAAAGAGAGAAAAAAAGAACCTGAGTCGTGAATACACAAAACAGACTGGTGAATCTCAGACGGAAGGCGGAGGTGGGAAGAGATTAAGCAAAGAACATATATGCCTATATACATTGACCATGGACACAGATCATGGGGTGGTGAAGGTCTGGGTAGGTGCAGGAACATGATCAAGGGGGGCAATAGGGGAACATTGGCGGACATCTGTAATACTATCAACATTAAAGATTTAAAATATTATAAATGCAGATATTAGAAAAGAAAAAAAACTAACAAAATCAATGACCTGAGCTTCTGTCAAGATTTTAGAAAAAAAATTCCTTTGAATTGTCTACATCCATAGATAACCGGATAAGAAAGCATGATATGTATACACAATACAATAGTAATGAGCCATAAAACATAATGAAGTTGTGCCTCTTGCAGCAACACGGATGGATGTAGAAGTATTTTCCTGAGTGTAATAATTCAGACAAAGAAAGACTTTCACTTATATGTGGAATTTTCAACATGATAGAAACAAACAAAACACACACAGAAATGAAGAACAAACTGATGGATGTCAGAGGGGGAAGGGCTGGAGGAGTGGATGAAAAGGGGGAGAAAGTCAATAATATGCGATACCTTTGCAGGGAGACAGATGGTTCCTTGACTCTGCGTGGGGATATTCAAAGATGTGGCTCAAATCAGACTTTTAGCACCTGCTATTTTTAAGGTGAGAAGAGCTGGTTCTCTTCCTGTGTGACAAACACCTTGTACACTGTACACACTGTGGTGTGGAGACACTGCCCACCACATCCTGTGAGTTACTATTGTGAGCTTGACGTTAACAACGAATAAACAAATTACCAAGAGCTCTGCAGAAGAATTTCCACTGAGAGTCACCCATTTTTCTTACGTATGAGCAACACAATCCTGATAGTGCAAAGAATATTCAGAATTGCTATACCGGAATCCACCAGTCAGGACAGCTCGCTGATGTTCAAGAGGCCTTGCAGACCAAACCTGGTCCAGCCTTGACCAGGAATGTGCATGTGTGACTAGGAGGTTTTCCTTAAGACCCTCGACCACCACCATCTCCCCTAATTCTCTACTAGTTTATATGCTAATCCTGAGAGGTGGTAGTGATTTCAGCACTTGGGTCTGGACAGCTCCATTCATCTAGCGGGCCAATAATATAAGTATATGGCTTACATGTGTTTTATGTAGCATATTTTCATTTAAAAAAAATGTTGACCTTCATGAAAAGTATAGCTTAATTTTATAGAGACGTTTTATCCTCTTGGTGATTTGAGCACCAAGAGCATGTTCAACAGAATAAACATAAGCTATTTAACAAGAAATAAAATGGCCCTGCCAATGTGTCTCACTGGTTGAGAGTTGACCTGCACCAATAGGTTGTTGGTTTGATTCCTGGTCAGGATACATGCCCAGTTTGTGGGCCCAATTCCATATGGAGTGCATGCAGGAAGCGGCCAGTCTATATTCCCTCTCATCTATGTTTCTATCTCTCTCTCAGTCTCAGAAAGATCTCTTTTCTTTTGAGACGACATGGAGGGACCTGGAAAGTACTATCCTAAGCGAAACAAGCCAAACAGAGAAAGACAAGCATCATATGATCTCACTTATTTGTGGAATATAATGAACATAATAGTCTGAGGAATGGGTAGTCCCAGAGACATGGAAGTGGGGTACAGACTGACAATCCCCAGAAGAGGGGGTGGTGGGGGGAGGGAAGAGATAAACCACAGAAGTTATATGCATGTATGCATGAACAATGGACATGGACAACAAAGCTGGGGACAGGGTGGGGAGGGAGTGGGGGGGGAATCAGCAGGGGAAGAAGGAGAAACATCTGTCACAAAAATAAATGAATTAACTAATTAAAAATAAATAAATTAAAAAATGAATAAAAGGAATAAAGTGACCCTACAGTTCATATTAGGTCCAAGGACAGAGACTCTTGGATGCAGGATAGTAATTGAGCTGAAGACAATAGAAGATACATCCACTTTGTTGAGGAGTTTGTATTTCTCCCATGAACTTGTTATTTTAGTCACAGAAAAGTAAACATGAGTGGCAGGAGATGATTTTTTACAAAATTCTGCCTAAACCCATAAAGAAGATTGGATATCAATGTTTGTAAGTGGCATGTTAAAGTATTTGCTTGTTTCCCTAATGTTGCTACTGTCATCTCAGAGATTTGTAGATATTTCTTCACCTTATCGGTACCAATCCCTTGTCTTATTTTGGCTTTGCAAACACTTTCTCCCACTGTGTTCTATTGTGTGGTTTTCTGTTCACTCACTTTTGGGTGTCTCTGAGAAACAGCTCTTATATTTAGTGGATTGTAATGTACCAAATTTTTCAATATAGTCATGCTGTGGTCCCCATTTAGAGAAAACTTTGCTTTCACAATGTTATAAAAATATTTCTCTATATTTTTTGCTAAAGATAAATTGGTCTCCTCTTCATATTTTTGTCTGTAGCTCATCTGACTTTAATATTGTGTATAATAAGGGGCAAACTTGAAAGTTGACCTTGTTCTATAGACTCACCCAATGGTAGAGCATCATTAGAGGGAGAAACCAGGATCTGCCCCCTGCACTGCAAGGGTCTGTCTCAGGTGAGTCCACATGTGTGGTCAGATCTGGATTCTTTCTTATGCTCCCTTGGATGAGGTATCTCTAGTTATCAGTTTATCAAAGCTCTAACATCTTTATCTAAATCTGAATGACTTGTTTTCTTTTCCCCTTATTTCAGGGAGTGTGAACTCTCCCCACTTTTGCAGGGGTGGAGTGGGTATCACTGAGCTACAAATGAGGAAAGTCAGACCAGCAAAGGAAGTGAGCCACTCAAGGGTCCATCTGCCATTCAAGATGTGGTAGTGCCACAGCTGATATTTAAAGTGTGTCAGTGTACAATCCCCAGACGAGGGGGTGTTGGGGGAGAGATAAACCACAGAAATAATATGCATGTATACATAAACAATGGACATGGACAACAAACTGGGGACAGGGCAGAGCGGGGGAATCAGTGGGGGAAAATGGAGAAACATCTGTAACAAAAATTAATTTAAAAAAAAAATAAAATAAATTATGCTAAAAAAAAATAAAGTGTGTCAGTGTAAAAATGATAAACTTTCAGCTTTCATTTATTACTTTTATACTAAGGAGTGTATCTCCAAAAATACACCATAAAATAAAGATTAATACACAATCTGAAAATAAGCATGTCTCTCCATGTGTGTTTAATGTCTTCAAACAAAATCTCATGAATATATATTTTGTGCGAATTTTCAAAGGTCTCCACAGTTTGAAGAGGAGAGTGACACCAGCTTCAAAGGTGCTCTGAGAAGGCAGACATGACCCAAATGATTTGCCCCAAGGAGATGGAGAGAGAGGTCCACTGCTCAGAAACAGAAAGTCAGGTGGAGACAGTGTGAGGACAACCTGGGATCCAGGGCCAGAGGAAGTACCGAGCTTCCCTGTGGGAGCAGAAGCACGTTGCACAGCCCCCAGGCTCGTCCCTCCCCCACCCCTTGGCTCCCTGTCTCTGAGGCCACCTTGAGGTCTCCATCAGCAAGGCAGGAAGGGAAGGTCACCTTCCCACCCACTGAAGCAGCAGTCAAGTTTCCAACCTTCCAGGGTTCTGAATTCCACCCCCACCCTCCCTTACTCAGGTCAACCCTCCACATCGTTCTTTCTAAGTTACATTTAAAATCTCTCCATTTTCTGCTCAAAATCCCTCCATGGTCCTCACTCTCTCTCAAGTTGAATCCAAACTCTTCTGCCTGAACTGATGATGGCTCATACTCATCCAGGTGTGATTCTCCAATCTCAGCTCTCATTTCTAATTCCCTCATCGAGGCAAGTGCAGTTACCACGTGACACACTCTCACACACACTCTCACACATACCCACTAACACATACTCACACACATTCTCACACACACTCTCACACATACTCACACACACACTCATACACACTCTCACACATACACACACACTCACACACACTCTCACACATACTCACACACACACTCATACACACTCTGACAAATACTCACACACACTCATACACACTCTCACACATACACACACACACACTCTCACACATACCCATTAACACATACTCACACACACACTCACACACTCTCACACATACTCACACACTCATACACACTCTCACACATACACACACTCACACACTCACACATACTCACACACTCACACACACTCTCACACATACACACACACTCATACACACTCTCACACACACACACTCACACACACTCATACACACTCTCACACATACTCACACACACTCATACACTCTCACACATACCCATTAACACATACTCACACTCACACACTCACACACACTCTCACACATACTCACACACACACTCATACACACTCTCACACGTACTCACACACACTCATACACACTCTCACACATACACACACACTCATACACACTCTCACACATACCCATTAACACATACTCACGCACACTCACACACACTCTCACACATACACACACACTCACACACACTCTCACACATACACACACACTCATACACACTCTCACACACACACACTCACACACACTCATACACACTCTCACACATACTCACACACACTCATACACTCTCACACATACCCATTAACACATACTCACACTCACACTCACACACACTCTCACACATACTCACACACACACTCATACACACTCTCACACGTACTCACACACACTCATACACACTCTCACACATACACACACACTCATACACACTCTCACACATACCCATTAACACATACTCACACACACTCATACACACTCTCACACATACCCATTAACACATACTCACACACACACTCATACACACTCTCACACATACCCATTAACACATACACACACACACACTCTCACACATACACACACACTCACACACACTCTCACACATACACACACACTCATACACACTCTCACACATACCCAATAACATACTCTCACACACACTCTCACACATACCCATTAACACATACTCACTCACACACACTCTCACACATACCCATTAACACATACTCACACACACTCACACACACTCTCACACTCACACACTCTCACACATACCCACTAACACATACTCACACACACCCACATGCACTCTCACACTCAGTCACACGTAAACACATTCACACCATCTGCTACTGACCATGTCTGGGTTCTCCTAGAATTCTATACATCTAGCTTATCCCTTCCCAATCCCAGAGCTAAGAGCACAGACTAGAAGCAACACTGAGATTCCTTCCTCTTATTTCTCTTCTCGGCATGTGATTCTGACTGTGAAGGACTAAACAAGAATTTTGTGGTAAATCCTTGTTGCTGATCATGTAACATGGTTGGAAACAGTAGAACTTGAGTTCAATTATCGTCGACTGTATGTTTTATTTTCATATATTGCATTTCTCTAGTTCATATGAACTTCATAAATCAGTCTGAACATAACAGTGTATTTGTATGTATTCTTTTTGCCTTATGGAGATAATCCCACCTCCTTGCATGGGAGAGCACCCCCATGATCATCCAGCACCTCACCCTCTCTTACTGTTGTTCAGAGAGTCTCTCTGTCTCTAGGGTTCTCTAGAATGTTATTTCCTCTCAGAAATAGTCTCGCTCCCACCTTTAAGGATTCCATGTCTTCAAACAGTCACTTTCTCAACTACAGTCTACTCACAGTCCCAGTTGTTCTCATATTTTCTCTCACTTCTCCTTTGTAAGAAACATAATGGCAACATTAGCCCATACTCTGCTAAGAGAACTTTCTCAGAATATAGAAAATGGGTCTCCTGGACCATAAATGTCTTTCTGACCCAAGTACTCAGCAGGTAGTAGATGATCAATAAACTTTTTTTTTGGATGAGTTAATACCAAAATTAAATTCTGTTTGTGGGAGGCTGAGAAAATGTGTAGGGAGTTCTACTTGGAGCCATCCAGTCAGGGTCAACTCAGGATGAGAACCTGGGACCTGCCTTCTCTGAGCAGGAGGTCAGGTCTGGTCGAGTGTCCTGGGTCAGAGGAGACCCCAGATCTTGGCCAAGAGTCTCCAGAGGTCCTGGAGTCCTCCTGAGCCCTCCTCATGGAAACACCCAGTCCTCTGAGAAGGCGGGACGAACCCCTTGTGTAGTTTACAGTGGTGGGAACCGGAAGGCGGCAGAAGCTCCTGACTCACCACATCCTGGGTGTCTGTGCCCTTCAGGCCCAGGGTCTCATCCATCTTCAGAGCAGAAGCCCGCAGAGCAGGTGCCATGAGGTCCATTCTCCCTTTGATTCTCTGCCTCGGTCAGTGTGGATGTGGGGAGGGGGCAGCAGGAGGAGATGGGGAGGCTACTACCCTGGTATGGGAACCTCAGTTTCAGGCAGCAGTGTGGAAGGGGCCCTGATGGGAAGGGAATCAGCTCAGACGACCGGGTGCAAATCTCTAACTGGGTCTCTCTTCCAGGGTTGAGTCTGAACCAGAGGATCCACAAGCAGTCAGGTGAGTCCTTGTCTGGCTCCATGTCCACCTCTTACTTCATCCCTGAGACTCAGGGGGGAGCTCAGAGGTTCTGGGATGAGGTAATAAAATGTGAGAATGTTGGGCTGAGAAGGGGACTGAGGGGTGGAAAGGTCTTTGTGATGCAGCCTTCGATTTTTTTCAGGGACCCTCCCCAAACCCACCATCTGGGCAAAGCCAGGCTCTGTAATCCCCTTGGGGAGTCCTGTGACCCTCTGGTGTCAGGGGTCCCTGGAAGCCCTGCAGTTTTGTCTCTTTAGAGAACAACGTGAGCAAATAAAGACACCGATTCAATGGAAGCATGGGGACAAGGCCCAGGTCTCCATCACACACATGACAGAGCATGATGCAGGGAGATACTCCTGTTACTATGTCACCTTCACTGGCAGGTCACAGCAAAGTGACCCCCTGGAGCTGGTGGTGACAGGTGAGGGAACTCTCTGGGGTCCCAGCCTCCAGCTCTGCCTTCAGGAAGGGGTCTGCTCTCAGAGTTTTTCTCCTCTCACAGCCCAGTCCTGGGGGACAGGAGGGAGGTGTGAACCCCATTTAACATACTGCCTCCTACTCTCCTAGGATCCTACAGCAAACCCAGCCTCTCAGCCTTGCCCAGCCCTGTCGTGACCTCTGGAGGGAACGTGACCCTCCAGTGTGGCTCAGGGCAGGGATTTGACAGGTTCATCCTGACTAAAGAAAGAGAAAACAGGCTCTCCTGCACCCTGGACTCACAACAACACACCCCAGTACAGAATCAAGCCCTGTTCCCAGTGGGCCCTGTGACCCCCAGGCACAGGTGGACGTTCAGATGCTATGGCTGTTACAGGAACAGCTCTCAGGTGTGGTCACACCCCAGTGACCCCCTGGAGCTTCTGGTCCCAGGTGAGTCCCATTATTGTCCCTTCCATGGATTGAAGCACCAGACAGGTTGTTGACATCTTTGTTGGGAGGGGAGCCCCATGTGAGAGTTGGGGTCAGGGGAGCACAGGGGCTCCTGGGGCAGCAACACAGAGAGACAATGAGACCTGGGCCAGGCCAGGAAAAGGGGTTAAGGGAGGAGTAGCCCCTGTACTCATGTCTGGTCTTTCAGGTGTGTCTGGGAAGCCCTCCCTCCTGGCCCAGCAGGGCCCCATCGTGATCTCTGGACAGAGCCTGACCCTCCAGTGTCACTCTGATGTCGGCTATGGCAGATTCGCTCTGTCCAAGGAGGGAGGACAGGACCTCCCCCAGAGCCTTGTCCCGCAGCCCCAGGCTGGGCTCTCTCAGGCCAACTTCTCCCTGGACACAGTGCATAGCTCCCACGGGGGCCGGTACAGATGCTACGGTGGACATAACTTGTCCTCTGAGTGGTCGGCCCCCAGTGACCCCCTGGACATCCTGGTGGCAGGTGAGGAGCCAGTGGTTTCAGTCAGGGACCAGTCTCTGGACAGGCCCTGCTGGAGAGTCTTGGGTGGTCATGGCCAGAATGAAAGTGTAGGACCTAGGGAGGGAGAGGTAGAGAGACAGGGTTGTGATGGGAGAAAAAGACTCAGAGAGAACAGAGACAGAGAGGAGGGTCCTCAGAGAGAGGCCTGGTGACTTTCCGGCCAGAACAAGGTGGGCAGGTTGCCCCTCACCCACCCTCCCTTTTTCTAGGACAGCTCTCTGACAGACCCTCCCTCTCAGTGCTGCCAGGCACCAGAGTGACCTCAGGAGTGAACACGACCCTGCTGTGTCAGTCACAGAGTCCAAGGGACACTTTCCTTCTGTCCAAGGAGGGGGCAGCAGATCCCCCCCTGCGTCTTCCATCAAAGCGCCGAGCTCAGCAGTACGAGGCAGAGTTCTCCATGAGTCCTGTGACCTCCGCCCACGGGGGCACCTACAGGTGCTACAGCTCACTCAGCACCGCCCCCTACCTGCTGTCACAGCCCAGTGAGCCCCTGGAGCTGCGGGTCTCAGGTGAGGAGCCCTGTCTATGTCTTTCTGTGCTGTCAACTCAGAGTCCTGTGCCCTGAATTAATTATGAAAGGAAGCAACGGGCTCTAGAAATAGTCACCCAGAGAATCTCCCAACCCTGTCAACCCAGCCTTGTACCTGTGTCCTGAAGCTGCCTGGTGGGCAGCAGGAGAAGCTTGAGGGGCCAGCGAAGATGTAGAGAAGATTCTGAGTGAGATGGGGACTCCAGGGTCACCCCAGGGAACTCACCCTTTTCCTGTCTTTGTTTTTAAGACTCTCTCATGCACCTCCCCATCCCAATCTCCACCATTGGTGAGTCATGAAGAATCCTGCTCAGAGGGGGCATGGACCACCCAGGAATTTCTGAGAGTCTATCAGGGAACCTAATTATCCCAGAAACACAAGAATGGGTTGTGTGTCAGGGGGGCTGGAGTCAGGCTGAAATGCGTCACCACAGGGCTTACAGGGCCCAGAGTCTAGAAGATGACAGGTGGAGTGGTGAAGAAGCTACTAACCTTATGTGGACGGCAGGGAGCCCCCAACCCTCACTACCATCTCCATCCCCAGGAGGCTCTGAGGATTGGTCCCTACACCCCACGGAGTCAGGCCCCCAGAGGGGTAAGTGAAGGTCTCAATAGGGAGGTGGTGGGTACATAAGTAACATGGGCTCAGTCATGAGGGGGTTCAGGCCTCTCTGGAGATGCTGACTTGGATGCGCCCTTTCTGTCTGTTACTCTGGGTCCCCAAGTGTAAAAGGAGAGATTCATGGCCCAGAGCTTAGATTTCCTTTCAGTTCTGGTTCTGACGTTCTCTGGAAGGGGTACCTCACAGGGACACCAAGGATGTGGTGTGGGGACTGTCCCCTCTGTTTTGATGATTGTATCTTTTGCTGTGCAGAAGCTTTTGAGTTTGATGTAGTCCCATGTGTTCATTTTCTCCTTTGTTTCTGTTGCCTTAGGTGATGTATCAGTGAAAATTTTGCTGTGTATGATGTCTGAAATTTTGTTGCCTACATTTTCTTTTAGGATTTTTATGGATTCATGAGTCAGATTTAACTCTTTTATCCATTTTGAGTTTATTCTTGTGTAGGGTGTAAGTTGATGGTAGAGTTTCTTTCTTTTTTCTTTTTTTTTATGTAGCTGTCCAATTTTCCCAACACCATTTATTAAAGAGGCTGTCTTGACTCCACTGTATGCTCTTGCCACCATCGTCAAATATTAATTGAGCTTATTGCCTTGGGTCCATTTCCGTGTTCTCTGTTTTGTTCCATTGGTCTATATGCCTGTTCTTGTGACAGTACCAGGCTATTTTGATTACAGTGGGTTTGTAGTATAACCTGAAATCTGGTAATGTGATCTCTCCAACTTTGTTCTTCTTTTTCAAGATTGCTGTGTTTATTTGAGGTCTTTTTTGGTTCCATGTGAACTTTTGAAGTATTTGTTCTAGTTCTGTGAAGTATGTCATTGGTATTGTGATGGGGATTGCATTGAATCCATAGATTGCTTTGGGTAGTATGGACATTTTAATGATGTTGATTCTTCCAATACATGAACAAGGTATGTGCTTCCACTTTTTTTTATATCTTCCTCTATTTCTTTTTTCAATGACCTGTAGTTTTCTGCGAATAGGTCCTTTATTTCTTTGGTTAAGTTTATTCCTAAGTATCTTAATTTTTTAGCTGCGATGGTAAATGGGCTTGTTTTCTTAGTTTCTCTTTCTGTGAGTTCATAATTGGTGTATACGAATGCCGTCGATTTCTTGACGTTAATTTTGTATCCTTCTACTTTGCCAAATTCATTTATTAAGTTTAGTAAATTTTTGATGGAGTCTTTTGGGTTTTCTACATATAGTATTTTGTCATCTGTGAATAATGACAGTTTTACTTTCTCCTTTCCCATTTGGATTCCTTTTATTTTTTTTCTCCTTTCTAATTGGTGTGGCCAAGACTTCCAGTACTATGTTAAATAAGAGTGGCAAAAGAGGGCATCCTGGCTTTGTTCTTGTTCTTAAGGAAAATGATTTTAATTTTTGCCTATTAAGTATGATGTTGGCTGTAGGTTTTTCATATATGGCTTTTATTATGTTGAGATATGATGCCTCTATTCCCAGATTGCTGAGTGTTTTTATGAGAAATGGGTGCTAGATTTTGTCCAATGTTTTCTTCAGCGTCTATTGATATGATCATGTAATTTTTATCTTTCATTTTGTTTATGTGGTGTATCACATTTATTGATTTGTGAATATTGTACCAACCTTGCATTCCTGAGATGAATCCCACTTGGTCATGGTGAATAATTTTTTGATGTATTGCTGGATTTGATTTGCTAGTATTATTTCAGAATTTTGGCATCTATGTACATCAGGCATATTGGTCTGTAGTTTTCTTTCTTTGTAGTGTCTTTTTCTGGTTTTGAAATTAGAATTATGCTGGCCTCATAAAACGGGTTTGAAAGTCTTTCTTCTTCTTGAGTTTTTTCAAATAGTTTGAGAAGAATGGGTATCAGTTCTTCTTTGAATGTTTGGTAAAATAACCCCGTGAAGCCATCTGGGCCTGGGCTTTTGTTTGCTGGGAGAGTCTTGATTTCATCTTCAATTTTCTTAGTTGTTATTGGTCTGTTCAAGTTTTCTATCTCTTTCTGGTTCAGGTTTGGGAGACTATGTGTTTCTATAAATTGACCCATTTTACTTAGATTGTCAAATTTGTTGCAGTATAATTGTTCATAATATTTGCTAACATCTGTTGTATTTCTGTGGTGTCAGTTATTATTTCTCCTCTTTCATTTCTGATTTTGTGTATTTGGGTTTTCTCTCTTTGTTTCTTGGTGAGTCTAGCTAAGGGTCCATCAATCTTGTTCATATTTTCAAAGAACCAGCTCTTTGTTTTATTGATCCTTTGAATTGTTTTTTTGGTCTCCATGTCATTTATTTCTGCTCCTATCTTTACTATTTCCTTACTTCTACTTGCTCTGGGGTTTTCTTTTTGTTTGCTTTCTAGTTCTCTAAGTTGTGAGGTTAGATATTCTGTTAGAAATTTTTCTTGCTTCTTGAGGTAAGCATGTTGTGCTATGACCTTCCCTCTCAGAACTGCTTTTGCTGCATCCAATAGACTTTGTGTTGTTGTGTGTTCATTTTCATTGGTTTCCAGGAATTTTGTAATTTTTTCCTTGATCTTTATGGTAACCCATTCATTGTTCAATAACATGCTATTTAGCCTCCATGTTTTCAAATGTCTTTGCATGTTCTTGTTGCAGATGATTTTTAGTTGCATGCCATTGTGATCTCAGAAGATGCTTGATATGATTTCCATCTTCTTGAACTCATAGAGACTTAGTTTGTGCCCTAACATGTGGTCTATCTTTGAGAATGTTTTATGTGCACTTGAGAAGAATGTGAATTCTGTAGCTTTGTGGTGTAATTCTCTGTAGATATTTCTTAAATCCATTTGATCTAGCGCTTCATTTAGAGTCTGTGTTTTATTGTTAATTTTTTGTCTAGAAGATCTGTCCAGTGCTGTTAGTTGAAGTTCCCTGCTATGATTGTATTGCTGTCAATTTCTCCTTTGAAGTCATTCAAAAGATTTTTAATATATGTTGGTGCTCCTATATTGGGTGCATATATGTTTACCAAGGTTATATCTTCCTGTTGGATAAATCCTTTCAATATTATGTAGTGACCTTCTTTGTCTCTAGTTATGGTTTTCATCTTGAAATTTACTTTATCAGATATGAATATTGCTACCTTAGCTTTTTTTGCTTTCCGTTTGCTTGAAAGGTTTTTTTTTTCATCCTTTCACTTTTAACCTATGTGAGTCTTTTGTTGTGAGGTGGGTCTCTTGTAAACAACATATATGTGAGTGATGATTTTTTTATCCAGTCAGCTACTCTGTGTCTTTTTTATCAGAGCATTCAAACCATTCACATTGAAGGTGATAATTGATATGTACTTATTTATGGCCATTTTTGTATAGTGTGGTTCTATTTTCTGTAAAAATATAGAACGCTTCACAAATTTGCGTGTCATCCTTAGCAGGTGCCATGCTAATCTTTGCTTTATCGTTCCAATTTTAGTATATGTGCTGCCGAAGTAAACACCATGTTCTCATTTATAATGTCATTTGTATTCAAGGTCTCCCATGGCACCAGTATGTCCTGATAGGGATCTCTGTGGCCCTTATTCTGCTCCTCCTCCTCTTCTTCCTTTTCCTTCAATACCAGCGTCAGAGCAAACACAGGGCATCAGGTGAGTAGAGATCAAGGTGACCTGGGCCACAGAAGGGGTCGCTCATACTTGCCACTGGAAAATCTAATAGATGGACGAAGTCAGCTGAGACAAAGATTTCTCTAGAATCGTAAATCAGGAAATCTCTGCCCTTAATTCACCTGTTTCTTCCCTTAGCTACAACCCAGCTATGGGCGCCCAGGAGCAGCCCCTCTGTGCCCGGAAGAGGCAGCTGCTGCCTTAAAGGGTGAATAGCGATTTCAGGAAATGATGGGGAGTGTTTTACTGGAGGGTGTGGGGTCCGAGGTGAGACGTACTAAAATCTACACTATGTGACCTGGTACTACACCACAACCCTGTATTAGTGGTCTATCTGGGAGGAAGTTGGATCTGCAGACAGGAGATCTCAAAGACCCTGCCAGGAGACACACCCTGTTCTGTCCCAGCAGAATCTGTCATAAAGAACCCAGAACCTGAGGAGAGCATGGAGCTGGACCCTCAGGTGAGGCCCTGCTTCTGTCCAGACACCAACGACCTTATGTGGACCTTATGTTGCCAAGTCTAATCCAATGGACACTTTTCTGCTCTGTTTTAACATCACCTGGCTTTCAGCAGTGTCCACACTGACCTCTGCTTCTGGGCACCCAGCTTGTCCTGCTGTGACTCACTGCCCTGGTTTCCTTGTGACCTCATGACTCCTCCTCTGTGATCCCTTTGCTGGCTCCTCGTCCTCTGCTTGACCCTGTGCAGCCCCAGGTCTCAGGAAGATGCATAAATAATTGAATCCCCCATATGTCTTCAGGATACCCTCATTCATTCCCCCAGCAGATGTGATGAGGAGCCCACTGTTTACAGCTCCATTTAGGTGCCACAGTGCAGCCCTGAGCAACACTGTCTCCACACTCCTTGAGCTCACCTGTGGTTGAGAGGGGCAGTATGCAAACAAGTGACAGTGTTTTAGAGAGCAAAGTGCTGTGAAGGGAAATAAAGCAAGAGGAGGCCATAGACTGCATGGCGGGGGTGGGCAGAAAGAAAACAGATGTGCAAATGTCCTGAGGCAGGAGATTCTTCTTCAGGACGGTGGTTCATGTGCCTGGATCTAGATGTGCAAGAGATAGGCTGTTAAAATAAGCATTAGAACCATAGAAACATCCAGAAGTCCCTGCAGAGTTAATCAGAAAAGGAACAAAATCTGAATTAAGGTTTAAATCTCCTTCTGGCATATGTGAGTAACTGACTGGAGGATGTTGCAGTGGAATCAGGAGACACCAATTTTGCCTCACTGTCTCTTTCCACAGAGCAGGCATGATGAAGACCCTGATGAAGTGACATATGCCCAGGTGAACCCCTCAAGATCAAGACCCAGGCAGAGAATAGGCAGCTCTTCTTTCTCTCAGTCAAAGGAATTTCTGAACACAAAGGTCAAACAAGAAGAAAATGACAGACAGATGGGCAGTCAGGTGGGTTTTATTTTCTCCACACACCCAGGATTTCCCCAACTCCAGTCATGTTTTATCTTCCTCACTTTCCCCCTGCTCCAGGCTGCTGCATCTGATGCCCCCCAGGACGTGACCTATGCCCATCTGAACCTCTTGGCCCTCAGACAGGAGACAAATGCACCCCCTTCCTTCCGATCAGAGAAACCCTCAGATGAGCCCAGTGTGTACGCTGCTCTGGCCACCCACTAGCCCAGGAAGAACCCAGACCCAACACTCCTAGGAAGGGGGGTGACAGGGTCCCTGGGAGGCAGGAAAACTACTCCCATGAACACTGCTGGTGGCCCCAGCCAGCCTGCAGACCTGATAAGTTTACCCAGTAGCAACGAGGGTTCTGGAAGGGTCCCCTGGTTCTATAGTCAAGGTAACCAATGAGCCTACATTTTGGAAATAAAGAACCATACTTCTCAATGATCAATGTGTGAACCAAGAGAGAAATGAATGTTTTTATTTCAATGATAATGTCAAACTGACACATCACCTATGAAATGAGAAAATTAAAAACCAGCTATAATTTCACTTATTTGTGGAATCTAATGAACAAAATAAATGGGTAAAGAAAATTGAAACACAGATTCCCCGGACAGTTTTGTTCAGTTGTTAGATCATTGGTTCAAGGATTGAAGAGTCTCAGGTTTGGTTCCATTCAAGGGCATGTACCTCAGTTACAGGTCTTTCTTGTGCTGGTCAGGGCTGAGTACGAGGCAACTAATGGACATGTCTCTTTCATATTGATGTTTCTTTCTCTCTTCTTTTCACTCTGTCTGAAGGTAAATAAAAATATATCCTAGGGTGGGGATTAAAGAAAAAAAAAAAAAAGAAACTTAGTCGTGAATACACAAAACAGACTGGTGAATCTCAGACGGAAGGCGGAGGTGGGAAGAGATTAAGCAAAGAACATATATGCCTATATACATTGTCTATGGACACAGATCATGGGGTGGTGAATGTCTGGGTAGGTGCAGGAACATGATCAAGGGGGGCAATGGGGGAAAATCGGTGGACATCTGTAATACTCTCAACATTAAAGATTTAAAATATTATAAATGCACATATTAGAAAAGAAAAAACTTACAAAATCAATGATCTGAGCTTCTGTCAAGATTTTAGAAAAAAAATTCCTTTGAATTGTCTACATTCATAGATAACCGGATAAGAAAGCATGATATGTATATGCAATACAATGGTAGTCAGCTATTAAACATAATGAAGTTGTGCATTTTGCAACAACACGGATGGACGTAGAGGGTATTATCCTGAGTGTAATAATTCAGACAAAGAAAGACTTTCACTTATATGTGAAATTTTCAACATGATAGAAATAAACAAAACACACACAGAAATGAAGAACAAACTGATGGATGTCAGAGGGGAAGGGCTGGAGGGGTGGATGAAAAGGGGGAGAAAGTCAATAATATATGATACCTTTGCAGGGAGACAGATGGTTCCTTGACTCTGCGTGGGGATATTCAAAGATGTGGCTCAAATCAGACTTTTAGCACCTGCTATTTTTAGGGTGAGAAGAGCTGGTTCTCTTCCTGTGTGACAAACACCTTGTACACTGTACACACTGTGGTGTGGGGACACTGCCCACCACATCCTGTGATTAGTCTCGTGAGCTTCACGTTAACAACGGAAAAACAAATATCAAGAGCTCTGCATAAGAATTTCCACTGTTACTCACCTCTTTTTCTTATGTATGAACAACAGAATTCTGGTAGTGCAAAGAATATTCAGAGTTGTTGTCCCGGAATCCACCAGTCAGGACAGCTTGCTGACGTTCAAGAGGTCGTGCAGACCAAACCCTGTCCAGCCGTGACCAGGAATGTGCATGTGTATCTAGGACGCTTCTCCTAAGACTATGGACCACCACCATCTCCCCTAATTCTTTTCTATTATATGTGTTATGTAATACTGAGATGTGGTAATAAATTCAGCACTGGGGTCTGGACAGCTCCATTCATCCAGAGGGCCCATAAATATGAGTATATGGCTTACATGTGTTTTACGTAGCATATTTTCATAGATTTAGATTTTTAAAATTGTTTACCTTATGACAAGTGTAGTTTAATTTTATATAGACATTTTATCCTGTAGATATTTTGGGTGTCAAGAACGTGTTCATCAGAATAAACATGAACTATTTAAATTGAAATAAGATGGCCCAGCTGGTGTGACTCAGTGGCTGAGCATTGACCCATGCACCAAGAGGTCACAGGTTTGATTTCTGGTCAGGGCACATGCCCAGCTTGTTGGCACAATTTCTATTGGGGAGCATGTAGGTGGTGGCCAGTCTATGTTCCCTCTCATTGACTTTTCTATCTCTATCTTTTTCTTCCTTCCCCTCTCTCTCATATCCATAAAGAAAACATGTTTATAAAAGAATAAGATGATCCTACAGTTCATATTATGTCCAAGGACAGACACTCTTGGATGGAAGATAGTAATTTAGCTGATAACAATAGAAGATACATGCCCTTTGTCGAGGAGTTTGTATTTCTCCCATAAACTTGTAATTTTAGTCACAGAAAAGTAAGCCTGAGTGGCAGGGGATGATTCTTTGCAAAATTCTGCCTAAACCCATAAAGAAGATTGGATGTCAATGTTTGTAAGTGGCATGTTAAAGTATTTGCTTATTTTTCTAATGTTGCTGCTGTCATCTTACAGATTTGTAAGTATTGCTTCTGTTTCTCAGTCCCAGTCCCTTGTGTCATTTTGACTTTGCAAACACCTTCTCACACCCTGACCAGTTGTGTGGTTTTCTATTCACTCAGCTCTGGGTGTCTATGAGAAACACTTCTTATATTTACTGGATTGCAATGTACCAAATTTCCCCCTACATTCACGCTATGATTCCCATTTTAAAAAAAAAGTTGCTTTCCCAATGCTGTAAAAATATTTCTTTATATTTTTCGCTGAGGAAAAATTGGTTTACTCTCTCTATTTTTATCTGTAGCTTATCTGACACTAATGTTGTGTATGATATAAGCAAACTTGAAAGTTGACCTCGTTCCATAGAATCACCAACAGGTTCAGCACCGTGTAAAGGAGAGGCCAGAATTCCCTGACCTGCAAAGATTTCTCATGGTTCATGTGTTGCCACGTGTGTGGTCAGTTTTGGATTCTTTTCTCTGCTCTATGGGATGAAGCCTCTCTACTCATCAGTTTCTCAAAACTCTAACATCTCCATGTAAATCTGAATGACTTGTTTCTTTTCCCTCCTATATCAGGGAGGGTGGACTCTCACCACATTTGCAGGGGTGGAGTTGGTGTCGCTGAGATACAAATGAAGAAAGTCAGACAAAGAAAAGAAAGTGAGCGGCTCAAGGATCTGACAGTCCTTCGTGATGTGGTAGTACCATCGTTGGTATTTAAAGTGTGTCTGTTTTAAAAATAATAAACTTTAACCTAGTTATAATCTATTATTTGTATACTGAGGAGTGTATCTTCAAAAATAAAACATATAAAGACACATAGACAATCTAAAAAAAATTGAGTCTATATCTGTGTGTTGACTGCCTTCAAACGGAATCTCATGAATGTCAATTGTGTGTGAAACTTGAAAAGCTCCACAGTTGGAAGGGGAGAGAGACACCAGCTTCTTAGGTGCTCTGAAAAGGCAGAAATGACTCAAATTATTTGTCCCAAGGAGATGGAGGGAGAGGTCCACTTCTCAGAACAGAAAGTCAGGTGGAGACAGTGTGAGGACAACCTGGGATCCAGGGCCAGAGGAAGAGCCAAACTTCCCTGTGGGAGCAGAAGCACATTGCACAGCCCCAGGCTTGTCCCTCCCCACCCCTTGGCTCCCTGTCTCTGAGGGCACCTTGCTGTCCCCATCAGTAAGGCAGGAAGGCAAGATCATGTTCCCACCCCCCAAGGCAGCTGTTATGTTTCCAACTTCCTGGTTTCTGAGCTCCAACCCCAGCCTCCCTTCCCCAGGTCACCCCCACATGGTTCTTTCCAACTTACATTTAGAGTCTCTTCATTTTCTGCTCAAAATCCTTCCCTGGTACTCTCTCTCTCAGAGTGAAGTCAAACTCTTCTCTCTGAGGTGAAGGCAGCTCATGGTCATCGAGATGTGACCCTCCCATCTCAGCCCTCACTTCTGATTCCCTCATCGTGGCAAGTGCAGTTACCCCTGACACACACTCACACACCTACGGACTACCACACACCCACACACTCATGCACACACACAGTCACACGTAAACACACTCACACCATCTGCTGCTGACCACGTCTGTAATTTCCTTGACTTCTGTTCAACCAGCAAATCCCTTCCCAAACCCAGAGCTAAAGCCCAGACTGGAAGCAACACAGAGATTCTTTCTTCTCATTTCTCATCTCAGCATGTGATTCTGAGTGTGAAGGGTGAGCAAGCACTGTATGGTAAATCCTTGTTGCCTGTCGTGTAACATGGTTGGAAAGACTACAACTGCAGATCAATTACTGTTGACATTGTATTTCATTTCCATATATTGTATTTTCTGGATCATATGATCTTCATAACTCAGTGTGACCATCACAGTTTATTTCTATGTGTTGCCTTTGCCTTATGGACATAATCCCATCTCCTTGTATGGGGGCAGCATCCCCACAATCAACCACCACCTCACCCTCCCTTACTGTTGTTTGGAGGGTCTCTCTGTTTCTAGGGTTCTCTAGAACGTTCTGTCCTCTCAAGAAGATACCCAGTCCCCCCTCTAAGGATCGCCCATCTTCAAACAGCCATTGCATCATCCACAGTCTTGTCACGGTCCCTAGTTCTCATACTTTCTTTCATTTTCATTTTTCATGTAGCGTAACTGCAACATCAGCCTTAGAATACCCACACTGTGCTTAGAAGAGTTCTCAAAAGACAGAAAATGGGTCTTCTGGATCACACATATATTTCTGTTTATGGCCCCAAACCCAGCAGGTACTAATTGACCAGTAAATATTTATTCATGGGCAAGTCAGAGAACAACGGTAAATTTCATTCGAGAGACCCAGATAAAATTTGTAGTAATTTTTATTTATAGGGTCTACGTGGGACAAGAAATGGTTCTTGTGTCTGAGCAGGAGTACAGCCAGGCAGAGTCCTGGGAGTCAGAAGAGACCCCACATTTGTGCTGAGTGTCTCCAGAGACGCTGGAGTCCTCCTGTGCCCTCGTCATGAAAAAACCCAGAGCCAGAGCCGGGGTGGGGCTGTCCCCCTGCTGTAGGTCCATAGCTGAGGGGACCCGGAAGGGAGGCACAAGCTTCTGACTCCCCACATCCTGTTCGTCTCTATCCCCAGCCCCAGGGTCCTGTCCATCTACAGAGCTCTCAGAGCAGGTGCCATGACGTTCCTCCTCCCGGCTCTTCTCTGCCTTGGTCAGTTGTGGAGATTGGAAACAGGAGGGGTGGGGAGGCTACACCCCTGTTCATGGCAACCTCAGAGCCCAGTTGGCTCCACTGGACAGGGCCCTGAGGGAGAACAATCTCTGACCGGGACTCTCTTCCAGGGCTGAGTCTGGACCAGAGGATGCATTTGCAAGCAGGTGAGTCCTCCTCTGGCTGCATGTCCACCTCTATTTTTTATCCCTTGGGCTCAGGCCGAGCCCTGAGTTCCAGAGAAGTGTGATGGAGTGTGAGGGCCTTTGGCTGAGCTGGGGGATGTGGGTGGGGAAGGCATATGTGATGCAGCTTTTGGTTTCCTTTCAGGGACCCTCCCCAAACCCACCATCTGTGCTGAGCCAGGCTCTATGGTGCCCCCAGGGAGCTCTGTGACCCTCTGGTGTTGGGGGACCACAAAGGCCCAGGAGTACTGTCTGTATAGAGATGACATGTCTACGTGCTCGGACAGACAGGAACCACTGGAGCCTGGCGACAGAGCCAAGTTCTTCTTAAAGAGAAGTTATGCAGGGAAATATTCCTGTGCCTACCTCAGCCCCTCTGGCTGGTCAGAGCGCAGTGACACCCTGGAGCTGGTGCTGACAGGTGAGGGGACACTGAGGGGTCCCAACCTCAGGCTCTGCCCTCAGGAAGGAGTCTGCTCTCAGGGCCTCTGCCCTCTCACAGCCCAGCCCTGGGGGACACGAGGGAGGTGTGAGCCCCATGTGTGAGCTGTCTCTTCCCCCCTAGGAATCTACAAAAAGCCCAGCCTCTCAGCCCTGCCCAGCCCTGTCGTGCCCTTAGGAGGGAACGTGACCCTCCAGTGTGCCTCAGGGCAGGGATTTGACAGGTTCATTCTGACTAAGGAAGGAGAACACAGGCTCTACTGGACTCTGGACTCAGAGAAAAATTCCAATGGGCTGTTCCAGGCCCTGTTCACTGTGGGCCCCATGAACTCCAGCCTCAACGGGACACTCAGATGCTATGGGTTTTATAAGAAGAACCCCCAGCAGTGGTCTGACTCAAGTGACCCCCTGGATCTACAGTTCTCAGGTGAGGAATCCCTGACCCCTTTGTGTCTGAGCGCAGTCAGCTCAGGGTCCTGTCCTCAGGAGACATGAGAGTGAGGGGCTCTGAGGATAGTCATCCAGCAGAATCTGTCCCTCAGAGATGCTCTCACCTTTGCCCACTTTACCCTCAAGCTTTAATTTGGAAGGTATTAGGGGGCCAGGGGGGAGTCTATGAAGGAGACAGAGATGGAGGGTTTGGGAACTCCAGGGTTCTTTCCTAATCTTCACTCACTTGTATCCTCATTTTCAGGACTCCCCATGGGCACCAGCCCACCACTCACAGAGCCCATCGCTACAGCTGGTGAGTCACTGGAACTCTGTTCAGAGGGAGCACAGAGCACTCAGAAAGTCCTGAGAGTTTATCAAGGGGTCTAAAATCAACCAGATCCTCAAGGACGGGCTTGTGTCCGAGGAGGGGCTGGGAGTTTCTGGACCCTGAGGCTGGCAGGTGGCAGGTGCGATGATCATGACAGAGGGAGATGCTGGGGATCCAGCAGGGGGAAGAGAATAAGGCTGCAGCGATGAGAATGGCCCCCACCCCTCACCACTCATCCAGACTCCTGGACGCCCTGAGGATGGTCCCACCCCCACACTGAGTCAGGCCTCATTGGGGTAAGTGAGGGTGTCTCTAGGAAGGTGAAAGGTGTATCCAGGGAGACAGGGATTGAGTTCTGAGGGAGTTCAAGTCTCTCTGGGGATGCTGATTTGAATGTTTCTTTTTGTTGTTTGGGCCTCACAGTCCCCTAGTGTAAAAGGAGAGATTTGTCACCCAGATCTTAAATTTCTTTTCAGCTCAGGTTCTAACTTTCTGGAGAGAGGGCTTTTCAGAGGACACCACAGGACGTGGTGTGGGGACTGTCCCCTCTGCAGCAGTGATGGTGACATGCACAGGGAGGGGCAGGCAGGACAAGGGTCTGGGGCATCCAGGTCCTTTCCCTCAGCCCAGGCTCAGCTCAGAGGAGAGAGGGCTGGAGTCAGACCTGGTTCACTTCCCAGCTCTGCTGCTCTTGTGGGGGGTCAGGTGGTCCCTTCCCTTCCCTGAGTGTTGGGTCATGTCTGTCCATCCCGGGTCCCCTCTTGCTCACAGGCTGCTGTCAGATTAGGTGATATAAGGAGCCACGCAGTGCTCAGGAAGGCAGAGCCCCAGTCCAGTTCCACCTTCCTAGGAGACATCGGGCTCCTGCAAGGTGGACACAGATCTCGGGAGAGACAAAGAGTTCATTCTTCACCCCTGCCCCTCCCATGTCTCTGCTGTGCAAGGGTGGGAAATAAGAGAAAACCTGCAGCTCAGATAAGACATGGACAGGCATCTGCAGATGAGAAACTTAGAGCGCAAAGCTGACGTCCCTCTGGGGCAGCATGAGGAGAGCACAGGGCACCCACAGTCCCGGGTTCTGGTCCCAGTCCCGCCCCATCTAGGCTGGGTGACCTGGGGAACATGATTAACCTCTCTGAGTCTCAGTGACCTGGGTTTTGGGTCAGCTGTCCCTGATGCATGACTGTGAGAGGGGAGAGGGAGGAAGGACAGACCCAGTACCTGCCTCACACACAGCAGGTGCTCAGTAAACGTTATCATTGGCTCATTTGTATTCAAGGTCTCACATGGTACGAGTACGTCCTGATCGGGGTCTTGGTGGCCTTCATCTTGCTGCTCTTCTTCTTCCTCTTCCTTCGATACAGGTGTCAGGGCAAAGGCAGGATGTCAGGTGAGTAGGGGATGGGGTGACCTGTATTTTAGAAGGTGGGGCTCAGAGCATCTGCCACAGGAAAACCTTATAGATGGAGGTCAACTGAGAAACTCCTTTTCCAGAATCTCAAATCAGGAAGTCGAAGACAAAACACGCAGTATCCACAAGGCTGTACAGATGTAATTAATCTTCCATCGTTTTCATTCTCATGAACTTATGCACAGTGTGTGTTAAATTAAGGTTTTCTTGTTTCCTGTGGAGTCGCACAGGAAGGGGACCCCCAACCTCCCAGGGCTGACACTTTTCCTCTTGAGCGGCCCAGAGAGAGGCTCATGTCCAACCTCCTGCAGGGGTCGCAGACCCACAGCCCAAAGCAGACACCTGCGGGTCATTCAATTCCTGTCCCCGAAGACCCGATGCTGTCACTGACCATGGTCCCAGACTGGCCCTAAGACTTCGGTCACCTGCCCCAGCTCCATCTCAACTGTGAATGTCCAGGAAAAGCTTCTCTGTAAAAGAAAATGACAGCTGCCCTGCATGGGAGGGGGTGTACTAAAATTTCAGAAGAGGATGGGGGAGGTTTAAGCTGGGAGGGTGTAGGGGTCATGGGTGAAAAGGACTAAAATCCTCACTGGGTGACCTGATGCCTCACCTCACCCCTAGGTTAGTGACACATCTGGGAGCATGCAGGGATGCAGCCCTGACATCTCGGGGACCCTGTCAAGAGACACACCCTGTTCTGCTCCAATAGATTCTGCCCTGAAGGACCCACAGCCGGGGGAGACTATGGAGCTGGACTCTGGGGTGAGACCCTGCTCCTGTCCAGGCACCAAGGACATATGTTGCCCCGTTTAATCCAATGAACAATTTGCTGTTCTCACTTTACTTGGTTCTCAGCAGTGTCCACACTGACCTCTGCTTCTGGGCACCCAGGTCGTCCTGCTGTGACTCACTGCTCCTGGTTTTCTTGTGACCTCATGACCCCTTCTCTGTGGTCCCCTTTACTGGCTCCCTGTTCTCTGTCTGACCCTGTGCAGCCCCAGGTCTCAGGAGGATGCATGAATAAGTGAATCCCCCACAGGTCCCCAGGATCCCTTCATTCATTCACCCAGCAGAAGTGACGGGGAGCCCCCTGTTCACAGCTCTATTTAGGTGCCACAGTGCAGTCTTGAGCAACACTGTGTCCACACCCCTCGAGCTCACCTGTGGGTGAGGGGAACAGTATGCAAACAAGTGACAGTGTCCTAGAGAGCAAAGTGCTGTGAAGGGAAATATAGCAAGAGGAGGGGGTAAAGTGTGTGGTGGTGGTGAGAGGAGGGGACAAAAAACAGCAGGTGCCAATGTCCTGAGGCAGGACAGGAATCTTCAGGAAGATGAACCATGTGGCTGGAGCTAGATGAGCAAGAGATAGGCTATTACGAAAAGAGTTATAGCTGTAGAAGCATTCAAGTGCCCCATAATTAGAAAATTCCTGAAGATCTAAAAGAAGATGGGCAACATGTGAATAATTGACTGGAGGATATTACAGTGGAATCAGTAGACATTGCTTCTGTATCACTGTCTCCACAGAACAGGCATGATGAAGATGTCCAGGGAGAGTTGAACACTCGGGTGCATCAACCAAGATCAAGACTGAGACAGGGAACGGGCAGCTCTACTTCCTCTCTCTCTGGGGGATTTGTGGACACGAAGGACAGAAAAGCAGAAGAGGACAGACAGGTGGACAGTCAGGTGGGTCACATCTTCCCCCACACCCCCAGGATACTCCCAACCTCAACCATGTTTTATACTTTTCACTCTCCCCTTTTTTCAGGCTGTTGTATCTGACACCCCCAAGGACGTGGCCTATGCCCACCTGAACCTCTGGGCTCTCAGACAGGAGACCAGTGCACCCCCTTTCTCCCTGTCAGAGGATCCCCCAGATGAACCCAGCATGTATGCTCCTCTGGCCATCCACTAGCCCAGGAAAAACCCAAACCTCCCATTCCAAAAAGGGAGCTGGCAAAACCCCAGAAGACATGAGAGCTTCCCTCATGGACAGTCAGATACTGACCCCACCTGGACACCTGAGGGGACTCCTAGAAGCTCCTGGGACCCTCAGGGAGTCACCTTATTTTATAGTCAAATGTAACCAATATGTCTAACTTTGAAAATAAAGCCACAGTCTTCTCAATAATCATTGTGTGAACCAAAACAGATGTGAATGTTGTCACTTAAATAATAATGTAAATCTGACATGTCAAATCTACAAAATGGAAAAATTAAAAACCATGAATGAGGATCTTACAAAATGAAAATCGCTAAATAATCAATGGCCTAAGCTATGATGTCAAGAATTTAGGACAGAATATTGCAAAGTATTCTCAGATTCATAGATGCCTGGGTTAGAAAGATGTGGCATGTAAGCACTTGAAATAGAAACCAGCCATTAAAAAGTGTAAAATTCTGCCCTTTGCAACAACATGGATGGAACACGAGGCTATTGTGCTGAGTGAAATAGTTCAGGCAAAGAAACATTTTATTTATGTCTGGAATTTTTAGCATCATCAAAACAAACAAATTTATAGAAGTAAGAGACAACCGATGGTTGTCAAGGGGAGGGGCTGGAGGGGTGAGTGAAAAGGGGAAGAAAGTCAATAACATGTGATACCTTCGCAGGGAGACAGATGGTTCTAGACTCTGGTGGGGAGCACATTGTGAGATAAATATCAAATCTGTGATGCACACCTGAAGTTCATAGGATATTGTGTGTCAGCTCAACTTTAGTGAAAATATTCAACTAAAAATGATTAGTAAAGGAATAGCAAAATTTTATAAAGAAAGGTGTAGGAGAGACATGATACGGATGGCAGTAGCAACTACTGCAAATAACAACAACAAAAAACCCCAGGAAAATTTATAAAGAACATTCAGTTTTTTTTTTTTAAATCTTTATTGTAGGATGTAAAATGTGTTACAGATGTTCCACATTTTTCCCCCATTGACCCCCTCCTCCCCACTCTCGCCCCCCTCCCACCTTTTCCCACACTATTGTCTGTGTCCATTGGTTATGCGTATAAGTTCTTTGGTTTATTTCTTCCCACCCCCCCCAACCCCTTTCCCTTTGAGGTTTGTCAGTCTAGCAATGAATTTGTGCTTCTTAATCCCTTCACCTTTTCCACCCATTCCCCCAACCCCCTCCCAACTGGCAACCAACAAAATGTTCTCTGTATCTATGAGAATGTTTCTGTTCTTCCTGTTTATTTTGTTTGTAGATTCCATTGTTGATAGATCTGTATTCATTGCCATTTTGTTTGTTCATACATTTTATCTTTTTCTTCAAAAAGACCCTTCATCATTTCATATAATAACGGTTTGGTAGTGATGAACTCCTTTAACTTTTTCTTGTCTGGGAAAGTTTTTATATGTCCATCGATTCTAAATGACAGCTTTGCAGGATAGAGTAATTTTGGTTGTAGGTTCTTGGTTTTCATCACTCTGAATATTCCTTGCCACTCCCTTCTGGCCTGCAAAGTTTCTTTTGAAAAATCAGCTGACAGCCTAATGGGTACTCCCTTGTAGGTAACTATCTGCCTTTCTCTTGCTGCTTTTAAGATTCTCTCTTTGTCTTGAACCTTTTGCATTTTGATGATGATGTGTCTTGGTGTGGGCCTCTTGGGGTTCATCTTGTTTGGGACTCTCTGTGCTTCCTGGACTTGTATGTCTGTTTCCTTCACCAAGTTAGGAAAGTTTTCTGCCATTATTGTTTCAAACAGGTTTTCGATTTCTTGTTCTCTCTCTTCTCCTTTTGGCACCTCCAAGATGCGAATGTTGGCACGCTTGAAGTTGTCCCAGAGGCTCCTTACACTATCCTCATTTTTTTGGATTCTTTTTTCTTTTTGCTGTTCTGATTGGGGATTTTTTGTTTCCTTATATTCCAAATTGATGGTTTGCTCCTTGGATTTACATACTCTATTATTGAAGCTGTGTAAATTATTCTTTATTTCAGTTAATGGCTCCTTCAATTCTAACTGTGTATCCATGATTTCTAACTGGTCCTTTTTTATGCTCTTGAGGCCCTCCCTAAGTTCACTGAGGTTCTCACTAAGTTCATTGAGCATCCTTATAAGCAGTATTTTGAACTCAGTATCTGTTAGGTTGCTTATCTCCCTTTCGCTTAGTTCTTTTATTGGGGTTTTGTTCTGTTCTTTCATTTGGGACCTGTTTCTTTGTCTCCTCATTTTGGCTGCCTCCCTGTGTTTGTTTCTGTGTATTACTTAATGAGAGGTATGGGGCTCGCTGAGACCCAATGCTGCTCGTTTGAAAGAATTTAGGAAAAACCTGAAGCAGGATCCAAGACCGGCCAATCCTATGGTTAAGCAAGTGGCAATAGCTTGGGTGGGCTTAAAAGCTGTGCGGGGCAGGGCGGGGCCTCAGGGAGTCAGCAGGGCGGGGCTACCAGTGTGAACCAGGTTGCTGAAGTCCCAGATATGGCTTCTGTCTGCCTCCCCGTGAAGGGCTCACCAAAGGAACAAAGGCCTCTTACAGCACGTTTGTCCCCGAGGAAGCCCCCTCTCCAGCCCTCGCTCCAGTGCCAAACAGCTCAGTTCTTCCCTGCATGTCTCTGGCGCTGCTCGAGCTGCCTCCCCTCCAAGCTTATAGGGAGAGAGTCCAATAAGTCCATGTGCGGGCCCTTTAGGGAGCTGCCTGGGGCTCCAGCTGCCTCAGCTTCCCTGAGCCTCAGTTTCCGGTGGTTTTTCCAGCCAGAAGTTATGGGGACTTCTCTTCCTGGCACTGGAACCCTGATGTGGGATGGGGACCCCTCAGTCCTCAGGAAGGACCTTCCCAGCCGCGGGAGCCTCCTGATTTTTATCCGCCACGCTTGGATGTGGGACCAGCCCGCCGCGCCGCCGCCCCCGCCGCCGCCCCCCCTCATGCCGCCGCCCCTCCTACCAGTCTGGATGTAGCTGCTTTTTTTTTTTTTTTAAATTCCGTAGTTGTACGACTTCCATTCAGCTTGATTTCAGGCGGTTTTGAATGATGGTTGTTCTGTAGTTTAGTTGTAACTTTGATGTGGTTGTGGGAGGACGTGATACCGCGTTTACCTACGCTGCCATCTTGACCAGAAGTCGAGAACATTCAGTTTTGAAAACATTGATCATAGCTACAAACCTTAGCACAAAAGCCCAAGAATAAGGGTAGAACACACACATTTTTTTTATTAATTAATTTTGTTACAGATGTTTCTCCTTTTCCCCCCACTGATTCCCTCCTCCCTCTCCCTCCCTGCCCTTTTCTCAGTTTGTTGTTCATGTCCATTGTTCATGCATATAAGTTCTGTGGTTTATCTCTCCCCCACCACCCCCTTTTCTGGGGATTGTCAGTCTGTACCCCATTTCCACATCTCTGGGACTACCCCATTCCTCAGACTGTTATATTCATTATATTCCACAAATAAGTGAGGTCATATGAAACTTGGCTTTCTGTGTTTGGCTTGTTTCACTTAGGATGATACTTTCTAGGTCCCTCCATGTCATCTCAAAGGATAAGAGATCTTTCTTTCTTACAGCTGCGTAGTACTCCATTGTGTATATGTACCACAGATTTCTTATCCATTCATCTACTGATGGACACTTGGGCTGTTTCCAGATATTAGCTATTGTAAATAGTGCTGCTAAGAACATGGGGGTACATATATTATTTCTGATTGGTGTTTCAGGCTTCTTAGAGTATATTCCTAAAAGTGGGATCACTGTGCCAAATGGAAGTTTAATTTTTAATTTTTTGAGGAAACACCATAGTGTTTTCCATAGTGGCTGCATCAGTCTGCATTCCCACCAGCAGTGCACTAGAGTCCCCTTTTATCCACACCCTCACCAACACTTGTTGTTTGATGATTTGTTGATGGCAACCATTCTGACAGGTGTGAGGTGATACCTCATTGTTGTTTTAATTTGCATCTCTCTGATGATTAGTGATGATGAGCATATCTTCATATGTTTCTTAGCCATTTGTATGTCCTGTTTGGAGAGGTGTCTATTTAGTTCCTCTGCCCATTTTTTAATTGTGTTCTTTGTCTTCCTTTTGTGGAGTTGTATGAGCACTCTTTATGTATTGGAAATTAACCCCTTATCTGATATATCATTGGCAATTATGCTCTCCCATACAGTGGGTAGCCTTTCCGTTTTGATGATTGTATCTTTCTCTGTGCAGAAGCTTTTGAGTTTGATGTAGTCCCATGTGTTCATTTTCTTATTTGTTTCTATTGCCTTAGGTGATGTGTGAGTGAAAATTCTGCTGGGTATGATGTCTGAAATATTGTTGCCTACAGTTTCTTCTAGGATTTTTATAGATTCATGAGTCACATTTAAGTCTTTTATTCATTTTGAGTTTATTCTTGTGTAGGGTGTAAGTTGATGGTCTAGTTTCATTTCTCTGCATGTAGCTGTCCAGTTTCCCAGCACTATTTATTAAAGAGGCTGTCTTGACTCCACTGTATGCAATTGCCCCCTTTGTCAAATATTAATTGAGCATATTGCCTTGGGTCTGTTTCTGGGTTCTCTGTTCTGTTCCACTGGTCTATATGCCTGTTCTTGTGCCAGTACCAGTCTGTTTTGATTACAGTGGCTTTGTAGTATAACCTGAAATCTGGTAATGTAATCCCTCCAACTTTGTTCTTCCTTTCAACATTGCTGTGGCTATTCGAGGTCTTTTTTGGTTCCATATGAACTTTTGAAGTAATTGTTCTAATTCTGTGAAGTATTCATTTGGTATTTTGATGAGGATTTCGTTGAATCTATAGATTGCTTTGGGTAATATTGACATTTTAATGATGTTAATTCTCCCAATCCATGAACAGGGTATGTGCTTCCACTTTTTTTTATATCTTTCTTTATTTCATTTTTCAATGACCTGTAGTTTTCTGCGAATAGGTCCTTTATTTCGTTGGTTAAGTTTATTCCTAGGTATCTTCATCTTTTG